CCCACCGGCAACTAGCCATGAAGCTCCAAGTAATCTTCGTGCTTCCCGAATCCGGGTTCCTAAACCCTAAACCCTAAACCCTAAACCCTAAACCCTAAACCCTAAACCCTGCGACGGCCCTTGAGCTTACCAACAAACTACAAGCGTCGAGTGAACATCCGCAGAAGCTCCATGGGGCCACACACCGCGAGCTTCGTGTGTTGGGTTTAGGGTTTAGGGTTTAGGGTTTAGGGTTTAGGGTTTAGGGTTTAGGGTTTAGGGTTTAGGGTTGAGGGTTTAGGGCTTAGTGTGGGGTTTAGGGCATACCCTACAACAGCGATAGCTGCACTTAGACCCTCGTGTCGAAGCGAAGTTAAGCCGACTCTTAAACCCTGAACCCTAAACACGAAACACTCGACCCTCCACTGCTACAGTCCTAGACCTGCAACCCGCACAGCCCCTTGAAAAAACAAGGCTACAGAGCTTAAGCTCTTACATGGCCGAGAAGCCAGAAAGGATGTTTGGGTACACTGGCCATGACTGCGTTGCTCACCTCGACGGCAGGAAGGTGCTGTGGATGGCTGTTATAAGAGGTGCCGGGTGACACGGCCTAACCCTCAACTCTACACCCTAAACCGTGGCTTGCGCTGCTTTTTTTGTTGGCCGTCTCCGCACTGTCCGCAACGAGCGACAGTCCATGCTGACCCCGATCCTCATGTCTGAAGCACTACGAGAGCATGCCTCAATTTGTATGGGGCCTTAATAATTAGAGTAGGGCTCTGGGGCCCATTATACTATGATCATAATAAGGAGCCCCCAAAATAGTATTGGTAATGATTTATTTTGGCCCCTACATTACCACAGCTTCCAGTAACTTCATGTAGCGACAAGCGAACAGAGCCCGCACACTACGAAGAAAGAAAACAAACAGAAACCCTAAAACCGGGTGCGCCCTGCTGTTGCGGAATATGGGGGTTTCCGAAAACAGGGGGGGCTCTAATACAGTACCTTAAGTAGTCGTAGAATCCCTATTATAAGGACCCCAAAATAAGGTGATAGTACCTTAAGTAGTAGGATCCCTATTATAAGGACCCCAAAGTAAGGTGCACCGTAACTTCGGAAACTCTCATATGGAATGCCTAAACCCCTAAACCCTAAACCCTAAACCCTAAACCCTAGACCCTAAACCCTAAACCCTAAACCCCTAAACCCCTAAACCCCTAAACCCCTAAAGCGGTGCGGACTATGGACTGCTGCCAAGACGCCAATCGACCAGAGAGCCTCTCCGGGCAGGGTAGGGTTTAGGGCTTAGGGCTTAGGGCTTAGGGCTTAGGGTTTAGGGTTTAGGGTTTAGGGTTTAGGGTTTAGGGTTTAGGGTTTAGGGTTTACCCTAGACCCGAAAGCCCTGAAGATCAAAAATCCTGAGGCCCTAACGACCCCAGCTCCAAAACCCTACACTGCCCTACACCCGAAACGGGGCTTCCCAAATCTGGAACTTCGGTGCGTTTTGGGCGCTCGGTCTGACGGCCAGCCGTCCCAGAGAGTGCTTGAGTGCCCGATTGATGTGGTGGGATTTCAACTCCCGCCGCCAAGAAGCATCGGCATCCACGCGCTACATAGGAACGAAGCCTCAGTCCCTACATGTTGGCATCAAGTGTCAAACTCACAGCCCCATAAAGCACTGTCTGCAATCACACAGACTCCTCTCAAAACTAGAGCAAAATCCCTGGCTCCAAATCGCGAGCCCTTGTTGACACTTCCTTCGCCCCAAACCCGTCAACCTCTCAGCCGGGATGTGAGCTGGTTTAGTGGCTTAGGGTTTGGGGCCCTAAACCCTAAACCCTAAACCCAAGTGGTTTAGGGATTGGGGTTTAGCCCCTTCCCGGAGCCTCTTCTCCAAAAGCACAGAGTGTACAACATTCTCCTGCCCGGCCGCTGCATCGGGCACAGAATAACTCTTATATATATATATATAGACATATATGTATATATAGATATATATATATATATATACATATATATATATATATATGCATAGAAAACATATATACATATATATATATATATATATATGTAGGCCTTATTCATGAAAGGCTTCCCCCTGAGGCTCCCAAGAGCACGGCACCTTCGACAATAGGTTGCCCCACAAAGCCCCGAGACCGGAAGTATCCAAAACCGAGGCGATCTGGTGAGTCCAAAAAGCAGCCAACACGACAATACAAGTAAGAAGAGAGGGAGAAAAACGTGACTGCTACATGTAACCCAGGCCCCCGAAAAACACTGCGACGATTGAAACAAGGCTGCACGCCTTGGACTCGGTAGCTCGGGAGCATGGCTGTGGGATGGCGGTGGCGGTGGTGGTGATGGTGTCGGTGGTGGCGGTGGCGGTGGTGGCGGTGGTGGTGTGGGGGTGTGTGGGGGTGGGGGTGGTGGTTCAGGGGTCAGGCTTTTCTTGTGAGGGTTTTTGGGGTTTCGCCGAAATGCTCCGAATCCGAGTGAGAGTGCCTACGGAAGGGGTCGTTAACCCTAGCTACTTTCATCCCACCTTTTGTGGTACTGTTTATTTTCTTGCCCACTCCCTGCCTCTTGCGCGAACACACGATAAACAAACACATGTTGACGCTGGTGAAACTGCTATCATTCATCTTGTTCTCGTTACAACAGGTGCTATCGCGGTGTTCATGTTTATCTTTGTTCTGAATGGTCCTGCTATCGTGTGGGCACGACGATTATCATTGCTTCAAGTGTGACAGGAATTGTGTATAATCTCGTTATTACCACATGGTCATTGCTAGGTGTGTTGTTTGATGTCGGGGGTCTTTTTATCACCATTACTCATTACTTGAGCCACGAGTCGTAGAAGTATCTTGATATGCATCCACTGTGATGGCCTTATGGCATCAGCAATCGTTTTTTTGTAGTTGCTGTTATGGGGCAAGACATCATCATCATCATCAGCACCATCATCATCAGCACCAGCACCACACGGTAAAACCCTAAAGCCCCGAAGCCCCAAATCCATAAACTCAATCCCTTAACTCAAACCCGAAACCACAAAACCCGGAAGCCATAAACAGCAAAGCCCCAAAGCCCTACAACGGTTGTCTGAAACTTCCGCACCTCACCCAGGAGCACCGCTTGGGAGGAGGCCTTCACTCCAGGAGTTGGCGCGGGGGCTTCAGGGGTTTAGGGTTTAGGGTTTAGGAATTAGGGTTTGTTTGGGAGTTTAAGCTATAGATAAAGGCTGAGGAGTTTAGGAGTTTGGGTTTGCGGGTTCAGGGTTTTTATTTAAGACTACAAAAACTAAACACGTAAAGCCAAAAAGCTTGGGGAGTTGAGGGTTCCTGGTCTAGGGTTTAGGGGTTTAGGGGTTTAGGGGTTTGGGGGTTTGGGGGTTTCGGGTTTAGGGGTTTAGGGTTTAGGTTTCGGGTTTAGGGTTTGGAGGTTTAAGGTGTAAGGTTACGATTGCAAGATCTACAGTCAAGCCCTGGAAGGCCAAACTCTCGACTCTCAACTCCTAAGCTTACATGGCAAAACAAACCCCGACCAAGGTCTTGAAAAGACCCTATGTAGCCTTATATCAACCCACCAAACCAAAAAAAGACTATAACACCTTGCAGCAGATTAGCATCAATTCCGAAGTCCTACACCCTAACACCCCAAGCTTAAAACCCGCTTTCAGCCCCTTCCGAACCACTGTGACACTCTGATAAACCCGAAGGAAACCCTTCAACCCGAAGCCCTCCCCCGCCACCTCCGCAGCATCCAGCAGGCGGTCGAAGGGCTGCGCGGCCTCCACGTCGATGTCAGCGTAGACGCCCCCATAGGCCTGGGGCTGCCCGAATGCTGGGTTTTAGGGTTTAGGGGTTAGGGTGTAAGGGTTTTAGGGTTTAGGGGTTAGGGTGTAAGGGTTTTAGGGTTTAGGGTTTAGGGTTTAGGGTGTAAGGGTTTAGGGTCTAGGGTCTAGGGTTTAGGCTTCAAAGGCTGTAGGCGATAAGGACTAAATGTTCTGTCTTTTTATCTATCTACCTATAAATCTATCTTTCTTTCTGTCTAATCTAATCTAATCTAATCTAATCTAATCTAGTCTAGTCTAATCTAATCTAATCTAATCTAATCTAATCTAATCTAATCTAATCTAATCTAACCTAATCTAACCTAACCTAATCTAATCTAATCTAATCTAATCTAATCTAATCTAATCTAACCTAATCTAATCTAATCTAATCTACTCTACTTCAAACCAGGTCAATACGGTATGTTGCTTCCACCTGTATATTGCTTCGAAGCCCGCCCACCCCCCGCAGGCCCTCCCCCCAAAAAAAGGCAAACAAAAAAGGTCAAAAACGTCTCCACCCTTTTGGGGTCTGTGGGGTTTTCAGAGTTTCGGGGCGTCTATATCAGGCTGCGGGGTTGCAGGGTTTTCGGTCTTTTTGGTTGATTCCTTCTATTGTCTCGGGCTTCACGGGTTTGCGGCCTTAACGGTTTACGTTTTTGAGGTGCTTGTGTGTTTATTGACTTTTTTTGACTTGTAGGGTACTAATGGCCTTGGGTGTGTACTGCTTCTAAGATTGAGGTTTTGTGTGAATGTCGTGGCCCTCTGTTCACGAATCGACCGCATCCGTGCCCATATCCCCGGTGCTCAAATCCATCGTCGGAGCACGAATCAGCATCGGCTTTTTAGCCTCAGACAGAATTACCCAACCTTCAAAGCCCTGACGGCTAGAAGACATGTTAAATGCGCATATCGTGCATGTCCATGCAGGCCTGCAGGACTCGATGTCGATTTCGATGAAAAGCTTCTGGATTGGCAAGTTCAAAACTAGGCATGCTGCATTTTTGACTGTAGTGCCTGAGGGCACACGTAACAAGCCTTGAGAATGTTGGGTAAGCCCCGGTTCCGGGACATGAGCAACCGATTCAACATCTTCGGAGAGGAGAACGAAGTGTTCTGAAGTAAGGAGCAGACTTGACGGGAAGATACAGTCCCATCGGCTACACGGCTGCGGGCACACCCTACTATGGAAGCGACGCCCGACAGATTTGACGGTGGCAGCAACCTGTTTCCGGGTCTTCATTTTCATTGCCGACACGTCTGAAATTGCCGGACTGTGAGAAACTGCATAGGTGCATGACAATGAGTCATTGCAATCGAGGACAGCGGGTTCTACCTCTTCCACGATCCCAGTTGCGATGGAACGGAGGATCAAGCCGCCCGATGGGCTTCTTGGAGCATTCAGACCAGAGAAAGGCGACTTGATGCCCAAGGGAGGTTCAATGCAGGTTCTGGATGTGGACGCGCCGTCCACGGAAGCATTCCAGGTCGCGGACGGGACTGTTCCTGCTTTGCGACGCTTCGCACAGTGGACACCCCGCTTGGCTCTTGACAGGATCTGGACCAGGACGGCAAGTGTGCGTACCAGGCCCCTCTTCGGACTACGATGTGCCACGTGCAAAGTAGCTTCTGTCTAGATCGGGTCATTGTTTAGCAAAAGTTTTGAGAGATGCGCTCTACGATTGGTGTGGTTGGACCTTCAATGCCAGTGAGACAGACAGGCGCGCCTCGATGGAGGCAATGCTTCTGCACCGCCTTCCACGGCTCAGTGGACGGCTCCATGGTCAATTCTAGAGGGAGGGCTTCATGAGAGCTCCGTCCTTTTCCCCGCCAACCTGGGCTGCAGCAACCTTTGAAAGCTCAAGTCCGACAAGACCCAAGGTCTTCTGTAGAGGCGGTTGGCAGGAGGCGCTGTGGACAAGGGGAGCCCGTGTTGCTTTGCAGACTTGCGTGCCACAGGTGGAGGTGCTCGTCACCGAGGATCGTGGTGACCGTTACCAGCAGGAGAGCGGAGCGAGAGCGGAAAGCAGAGCGGCAGCGATGCCTTGATTGCCAATGGCGAGTGCGAGGAGTGCTTCCAGGCCGGCACCTGCCAGGACGGAGGCTCTCTGCCTTGCGAGTGGCTTGGCGGCAGAGAGGACCGAAAACGTGCCTCGCATGCTCACGGATATTTTGGCCGCAGGTGGTGTGGGCTGCACCAGGGCCAAAGACTGTTCTGCTGCAGCGCAAGCGACGAGAACCCGGACATCTGCACTGCCAAACGTGACTGCAAGCACCTGGTGAGCTCTTAAGCCGTGCCGGCCATGCCCAAACTGTCCAAATCCAGAGCAACGCTTGAATCACCCTTTTGGTTGCATCCGAAGCGGCCAGTGGCAAGTGGCGAAAGAATGCGACAGCTCTGCAGGAATATGCCAACTGCTTCGGGACCCCAGGGCTTGATTCCGGTGCAAGCTTTCGTTGTGCCGCTTGCCTAAAATCAGCATGAGCCTGGGAGCCGAGGGGATAGACTTGGCTCGCGCTTTCATAAAGCCCAAGTCCAGATTTCACCTATGGCGTTGCAAGATTCGGGAGTCTGCATACGAGCTTCGATGTCGTGCCAAGGAAGGGGGGCGGGTGAATACGCGGTGGAACAGTCTGACAGAGTCTCTTATCCTCGCATATGTTAACCTACAGTACATCTGCGAGCGATGAAAAGTTTTTAAAGCCAATCTGACGCCTTACACGCTGCATCATCGCTTTTGACCGGGAGCATGCGAGGTCACCACAACGACAACGACACCGGCAGAGAGCCGAGGGGTTCGCAGAGTGTCGGACCTGTGTGACCTATTGCGTAGACGCAGATGCTGCGGGCTATGTGACGAGAGAGTACAGTAGAGAGCACCTTTGCAGCCGGACCCCGAACCGAATGCTTGCAAGGCTGCAGACAGGTATCTGAGCGGGTGTGGTGCCCACTGCCAAGACGGCATCTTGGCTTCCCAAAGTTTGTGCCTGCAAGCTTGACGGCTCGAGCTCGGGCTCAGGTCGTGGTCCATGGGAATGTGATTGTATCCAAAAATGCTGTGTGCTGTCATGTGCTTTCTCATGGCGTCATGGTGCCCTTGCAGAGGCAGTCCTTGCGCCTGGTGCGGGCTGCACGAGCAGAAGGAGATGTTCTGCTGCAGCGACAAGGAGTACTCTGGTGACCAAGCATGTCTCCCTGGCAGCACAGTCAGGTGGTTTTTGTCGAGAGATATCACCAATGTGTCTTCTGTATTATATAGATCAACAAAAAGTTGAAGCGTGACCAAAGAGCAGCAGGTAACTACACACTTGCCGATGCTAGTTGCACGCATTGGTACGTAATCAGCTTGCGATGTCAAAGTGTTTTAGGTTTTGAACATGCTGGTGTGCATCAGTTCAAAACGTAGTAGGAGTTCACATCTCAGGCCGCAAAGCAGACTGGTCCAGTCGCAGGGACTCTTCAGGACAGCCTGTCTGTGTACCGCAGACGCCTCTCGGCTGACATGTTGGCCATGGATTCCATGGATTAAATCGTGGTTGGGACGGTGCAGTGATGCGGGCGTTGGCCTTCGCATGGACCCCTTAGCTCGAATTTCGCGGAGACAGGACTCAAGATTTGTAGGCTGATGTGACATTCTGACAAAGTCGAAGATGCTCTGCAAAATCTGGTCGCAAATAGCGAGGCCGCCGCAGAAAGCCTTGGCCCAAGAGTCGACCTCCTCCGGGGTGCTGATGGCTTCTGTGCATCATGGCAGCAAGTCACACTTTGTGGTGGCAGGACGATAACCATACAATATTGCTGGGAAAGCAGCGACTTCCCTGGCTAACTGGATAGAAGGGGAAGCAAAGGACAAATGCTGACGAAGACGAAGATTGAGCGAAGACGAAAGCAGTCCCATAGCGTAGCTTCGTTCACGATCCTAACAAAGGGGCCTACCTAGCGACCTAGTTATCTTTTGAGCTGAGCACTGAGCACTGAGCACGTGCTTCGGGGCTTCCGATGAAATTCGATCTTGAGCCGAGGCTGACTGCTGCCATCCTTCTCGTTTTGCTGGTGGTGGGCATCTCCTTCATGCTCAGGATGGGTCGGGTTTTCGAAACCACGCCCTGGATATCTCGCGATTTTCCGAGCGGTCAGCTGTGAAAAGCCATGCGAGCGAATCCTAGTCTGCTCGCAGAATGTGAGTCACTTGTTAATGATTGGCTGCTGAGGGAAGCTTTCCGCTCCTCAGCGACTCTTCACGATGCTGCACCCTACCATCTGTCCTTACTTTCAACCCCGGTTCGCGCTCTGGCGGATGCCAGGCGTTCCACGAGGCGTCAGGAGGAGGAGCTTCAACAGAGAGTCCGGGCGAAGAAGGAGCCTTGGATAGTTCACTTAAGAAGAGCAGCCCCCAGGTTTTGAGTTTTGAGCTTGAGGAGAAGTCCACAGCATCGTCCAGGAAAGGCCTATCAGGCCACCGGAGATGACTGACGGGTATGTCCTGTTCCGAAGTCGACTGCAGAACTTTCTCCTTCCTGCTATGCTCTACGAGTCGAACGTCGGGCTCTCCCCCAGCGCAGGTGACGACGGCGACCCCGAGATCGGTTCAAGCAGCTTCGCCTCGACCGTGCCAGTGCCCGCGCCGGAGGCCGCGTCTTTGTAACGACTCCCTGATACGTAAACTCTTGCTCTCTTGGATGCTCTCCGTCTTCAGATCGCGATTCTAGCCTTGTTGAAGAGAGGAACAGATATATGATATATGTCAGGGATCTACGTTCCAGGGCTTTAAGTTTGGGATGCTCTTCTGATTTTCCCCCGACAGTATTCAAGCCCCAATATCACCCTGCTTTGAAGCCCCACGGTTTTATTTCCAACACCGCTAGACTGCACCGGAACTGAGTGCAGAGGTGTGCGCCTACCCATGCCCCCGGAAAGGTCTGAAAATGGGAGCCACTAGAACATCTGGTCTTAACCAAGTTCAGCCCATGCTCGAGGCGACCTCAGATGGATTTCGCTGCAGTCTGTGAGGATCGGCGCGGCATCCGTAGCATTTGGTTGGAGCAAGGAGTTCTCTGTGCACCTGGAATCTGAAGGTCCGGGTTTGCAGAGCTCTGTATGCTCCGGCACATGAGACTGCCAGTGATCCCTCGCATCCCTCGCATGTCTACACGGGACTCAAGATCGCAGCATCTGCGAAAGCCAATGCTGGCAGTTTCGATGCCGTACAGCTGTGCATGCAATTCAGCCCAGTAGCCCAACGGCTCAGTGGCAACGTTCGGTGGCTGTGAGCAGCGTCGGGTGCGGACACCTCTCGGTTTTGATTCGCACCCCGCGCTGCCACCAGGTTTCCAAGTTTCTTGTGCGTCGCTCGCCATGCGAAGAGAAGGAAGTGCCGCCGGCGTAGCGACACCCGGCACAAGCAATTGCCAGCTACGGACTAGGCCACTAGGCTTGACTCGGCTTGACTAGGCTGTGCATCGCATGGGGGGAGATTTCGCTGGCATTGCCTGTGCGCAGAGAAGGTGTCACAGACATCTGACACCATGCCGATTTGTCTTGATGGGCTCAGTCTTGACGAGTACGCATTCTGGAGAGCTAAGCCAGGTAAGCTTGAAATTCAGACGAGGTTCCGATCACCGAAGAGAGTGGCAATTGCAAGGGCGGTATGCAGATGTCTGTTCGCTGTCGTCGGAGGGCCAGGACAACTCGAGTATGGAAAGTGCCGGGCTGCGCGCCGGAGCTGCTTGTTCAGTGCGCGGTGCATCGGCCCAGCCCTGGAAGATCAAGCTCGTACGGAAAGATTGTCGAGGCAGGTTGATCGAAGGAACCAGCAGAGATGATCTTCCGGACCTAAAGCGCCGAAAGGCCCTTTGCTTAAGCAAGGGCTTCACAGCGAAAGGCGGGGGCGGCAGAGCACCTGGACAGGGGGTCTAGAGCAAATTTATGATTATGATCGGTAGCATACTAGCTATTGGCCTCGCGGACATGCGAAGGAGGGGCCATTGCGCAGAAGACACACCTAGGCCAAGGCACATCTTTCGAGCAGAATCCTACTGGTCCTGTAGTCACTGTAGCCTGTGGACAAAAACTGAGTAGGATAAACACGGGTGCAGTCGCCCACCTGAATTCAGACCCGTGCGAGTTCGGTTCCGACAAAGCGGAGCCCAGACCTGTCCGGCTCATGGCCGTAGACGACCTGAGCAGGAGCAGAAGTTCTGAAACCTCGCCAGAAATTTTGTCTGACCTCATCCAGCATTAACGCTTCACTGCCATGATGATCTGCATGCCGTCCATGACGCCGTCCCGTTTGGTTCAATTGGCCTGGGGTACTTCACCCATGATCCCGTGAAGGCGAGGACGTCTGGCTCTTAAGATGAGGGCTAGGAGCGCATGCGGACATGCTCCGGAGACGGCTGACAGAATCTCAGAATCAGCCAACAACTAGAGTATCTCGCAGTGTGCCCCAATCTCGAAGCAGAACCTTCATCCTGAAAGCTCCGAATCTGCGGACCTCAGGCCCATCGGCATTAGCGCAGAAGCGTGTTGCAAGGAGAAGTCCGTTGTTGCCAGGTCCTTGGTTTGATGCATTCGATTGCCGAGGTTATTTTGAAGTTGGCGAAGATGTATTCACTCACGTCGCGCGGTGGCGGGCAGGTTTGCGTTACTGACAGTTACCCGACGGTGCACCTGGCAACAGGCAACAGAACAAGGACAAGCATCGCAGCAATGCAGCCCATAGGCATAGGCCCATAAATTCATGCGATCGGTCCAAGGCACCCTGCTGAAGACCCGCGCCACCGTGGGGAGGCCAGACAACTAGGCATTCTGGTGCGGACTAGGGCCAGCCTAGCTGCTTGAATTCATTCAAGTTTGCAGTGGGAACCAGGGGCCGTTCAGCTGCGACAATTCAGGTTCGGTTCCGCTCTGATCGTTTGCAGTTCACTGGCAGGTAGACCATGCCGCAATGTTCGCGACACCGCCATTTCGTGGTCTGTTAGAGTCCATTACTACTAGCCGCTTGATCTGGTAGCAGGGCAGATCAGGCTGCACAGCCGTCAGCAGAAGATGGCACTTGCCACAAGCGGTCCACATTCTTTTGCAAACCTTATTTGCGTCAAGCTGGAACCGTGAGGCTGAGCACTTGCTGGCCGGTGGGGATTGCTGGGGATGGCTGGAGTATGGATGGTTAAAAGCTAAAAAGTGGACAAGATGGCTAGGGCTCTGCTTAGTAATCAGGAGCAACCGCATGTAGTTTGCGTGATGACTTCACCTGGCAGGCATGTCGTACGCGTACCTCTTCAAGTGCCCCCCTCTGCACACAAAAGCAACCGTCTTCGAGTCTGCACAGGGGAAGCTGCGTCCGTGGAAGTGCAGGGTAGTTGATGGAGCATCTCGAACAACTGTTTAGCAGTCGTGCATCACCAATGAAGCAGGTACATCATCATTGGTGACACGGGCGTTGGGAAATCCTGCCTCTTGCTTCAGTTCACGGACCATCCATGGGAATTTGTTCTTGCTGCCTGTGTTCGGTCCTGCATTGCAGCAGCTCTTAGTCGAAAAGGCCGTGAAAGTATGAAAGCCAGTCGACGCCGACGGCGACGAAAAGGTTATGACGACAAGGGCGAGAAACAAGAACAGCGCCTTCTTGTGCTCCCAGTAGTCTTCACTCACTTTACTGTTAGTCGTTCCAGGCAAACTCCGGCTCCCTTTCCAGAACGCAGGTGCCACATGAATCATCCAGATGCCGGGTTGCTACGGGTCGAAACGAGACATGTCTTCGTCGTCGCGACTTCAATACCGTCTCTCCGTCTGCTGTGCTAGTGCGAGTCTTGCAGGACAAGCGTTTCCGAACGGACCACGACCTGACAATTGGAGTGGAGTTTGGCCGGGCTCTTAGAATCAATGCGGGAAAATGTTTTCCGCGAGGCTGCCGTTGTGAAAACACGCTTGACAAATTTTATCGAGGAGCTTTAGGCTGACAGGATGAGCTTGACAGATGAATCCATCTTCGCTGGACGTGATAGCTGCCGTGGTGCAATCTGTTGGCAGTTGCACCCCGGAGCCGTGTGCTGTTTGTACTTTGGCAGAAAGCTTGCACCTATTTGCGCCTCATTCAGAGCGAATTGAATCTTGCTTTGAGTCTTGATGCTGAAACTTGAAGGTGCCCGTCTGATCAACATCGACAACAAGCAGATCAAGCCTAGAGCTCGGGTTTTGACCTGTGCCTAGCAGGCCCCTCAAACAGCCAGACACATCCACGGAAGCGCAAAGCCAAGCCAACAACAAAACCAAACACAAGAATAACAGCAAGTCAAGCACAGAAAACACAAACGAGCCAAGGAGCGAGCGAACGAACCAAGGAACTGTGAGCAAAAAAGGCAAGCACGCAAGTAAAAAAGAAGTAAACAACACAACCCCCGCACTCGCACAGACAAACACAACAAACAAGCCAGCAAGCGGGCTTGCAGCCAAGCATGCCAAGCAAGCATGCAACAAGCCAAGCCCAAGCAAGCAAACAAGCAAACAGAAGCAACAACCAAAACAAACAGAAGCAACCATTCTCGTACTTATTCGTGCGACTGAAATCAGCCCGACTTGCCAACCCTGTCAATTGCCAGTCATTGAAAGAAAAGCCGTCTCTCCCGCAAGTGGCACGAAGTTGTACTCTTCCCAAGTCGAGGCTGCAGATCTGGGACACTGCGGGCCAGGAGTCTTTTCGCTCCATCACCAGGCACGTTTGCCCTGCTTCATGGCGCTGGGCCACTCAAAACTGCACAGGTCTTATTATAGAGGAGCCAGCGGCGCCCTCTTGGTCTACGACATTTCTCGGCGTGACACCTTCAATCACCTGACTCGCTGGCCAGAAGCTTGGTGTAGTTGTGACAGGGCAGGGTCCATGGGGTTTCTTGCTGTATGCTTTCGAGAAGACGATGTGAGCCTTTTCCAGACTCGGTCCCCTGCCTCAAGGTTGGAAGAGGCACGGCAGAATGCGAATGCAAACATGGCCGGAGGCTGAGACTGCCACACCGATACCGCCAAAGATACAACCAAGAGCGCTCAGGCTTGCACAGGGATCAAATTTGTCCCGGGCCATAGATCTCAAAGGTAAAGCCGTAAAGCAGTTCAAACCCGCTTAGGGATGCCTATCCGGGCCCTTGTCAGAATGCGTCTATGGTCACCCATCGGATTGGATGGACCGGAGTTATGGGACCTCGTGTGGGACTTGGGGCTCCTGAGCCAAAAGCTTGAAGAAAACAAAGCGCCCACAAAACTGCACGCAGCACGTACTGGCACGGAGCGGACAAGCTCTTTAGTCCACCTGCCAGGATGCGCAAGACAGAACTTCCGATGAGAATACCTAAGTAAGACGATGGACCAGTGTCTCGTGCTGCATCTCGGAAATGCCCACTTCTTGTTATGAACCTGCGAGCACAGCGATGTCATGCTGCAGGCCTCCTGAAGCTGCTTTGCCCTGTTCAGCACGTTAGCAAGCAAAGAACCACCGCGAAGTTGTTGTGCACGAACGAAGTTCATCGCTTGGACTCTTCGGCGTCTGGTTTGAATTAGGACTTGATCGATTCTGCAGCAGAGCAAGGAGTTCACGTAGCAAAGCCAGCAGAATGCAACCAGCGCCAGGGACCCGATTACTTATACCAGCCGAAAACTTGATGCCCATCGCTCCGTGCAGATCTTTACTTACGCCCTGAAGCTGGAAACAGTTAGCGGAACTGTGTTGCTACGGTCTGGATGTGCTGCGGCACGTCTATGAGGTGTCCAATCAACACTGTAGAATTTCTGAGTTGTGTGGCCTCGAGTGACGTGTAGGGGCAATCACATGTCAATTCTTTCACCCTTGCTACTCCACTTCTTGAACTTCCTATGGCTGGGACCAAGACTTCGATCTTTCGCGTCAAGAACGTATATGGGATCAACGTGTTGCGTGTCTATCAGTCTTGTTGGATGGTAGGAACGGAACTGCCCATCGCTGCCACACAGTCCAGCGGGGATCATTGAAGTGGTTGTCGTGCCGGCCACTGGGAAGTTGTGCATTCACGTATTCTCGCCCACTGCGTCAGCGAGGTCCAGTAGTATTTGGGTCATTCTGCTGCAACATGCTGCAGCCACGTAGTGCGGTCATCCACAGTGCCAATATGTGCCAATGTACGTCGCTCCATGCTGCTGCAGGTTATCATGCTCATTGGCAACAAGTGCGACCTGGACCGACGTGAGGCAGATTGCAGGGACTTGTGGAATCATTCTCACAGTCCTGCTAAGATGCTTGCAGGCACTTGAGAGGAGAGCTTGCGAGGGACGGCAAGTAACCGCCTGCCATCCTGCTGGGCCACTGAAAGCAGGTCACCTACGAGGAGGGTGCGCAGTTTGCCCGAGACCATGGCCCGGATGCTTACCGTTTGTGATGACTCCGATGGTGTACAACTGCAGAATGCACGGCCGTTCTGAAAGCGATGACCTTGGTGTTGTATCAGCCTGCGCACAGCAACTGCCGGAATGCTCTGTGCTTAGGCTTGATTTTCAGAGAGACGTCAGCAAAAACGGCGCAGAACGTGGAGGAGGCAGACAACCCGCGTTTGCTCCGTATTTGCGGGCTGCTGGACTTGGAACCGGGGGTGTTGGTTTGCATGCGCAGCGGCTGGTTCATAGCTTGTCTGCCAGGCCTTCATACAGACGGCCCGAAAGATCTACGAGAACCACGGCACGAATTCAGCGACGTGCATGGGCTTTCGTGCCGTTTCCACGTCTGCTCCAGCTGTGTCTCGCTTGGATGCTCTGGACAGAACTGTAGCTGCTAGCCCTGTTGTCAAACCGCCGTAGAACTCACTAACGTCCACCGAAGTGCTGCACCGACCTTGCTGCAGGGTGCACCCTGACAAGTGGTAGCCAGACTGCAAAATCCCGTCTTCCATGGCTGTATATGGAACCGATGTTAGAAGCTTGCAAGGAACATCCAGAACAACGTCTATGACTTGAGTTCGGAGGCTCGCGGTTGTGGTACATCCTGTAACACCTCGGACCTAGAACAAGAGTGCATGTGCTTGTGGTATCGGAAGTTGGCTGCGTGTGATTCAACGTCTCGGACTGTACGAGAAAGCTCCTGACAGCCTGCTGAACTAACCTTGATTGTGTCTTTGCCCCTCGCAGAGCAGCGGAATCAAAGTCGGCATGCCGCCAACAGGCACGCAAGGGAGGGCGCATGGATTGTTTAGTCGTTTAAGGGAAGCATCTTCGAAGGTTGTGCGGCAGTAGGATTGTCGGGCTATTCTGTGTAGTGTAATTAAGGCCTTGATCGTGAAAACGTTGATTCAAGTCAGCTCAGTTTCAATTTTCTGAGGTTTTGCAGGTCACTCGCTCGCTCCATAGCTTGCACTGTCTGTTTACCTGTTGTCTGTCTCTCTCTCTCTCTCTCCCTCTCTTTGTCTTTATACTTTATACTTTCTGGTAGCCTGCCCGCTTTTCGTCTCTCTCTCTCTCTCTCCTTCTTTCGCCCTCTTGCCTCTCTGTTTATGCCAGTTACTGACTTGCCCTCACTTGCGGGATCCTGACATAAAGACATTCTGCAAAGCCTCAGGCGCAGTTGCTTGCATGCAGTGCTGGTGAAGCCGTAGATCACCAGAACTAGCCGTTGAGAGCTGGCTCTTGTGCCGGTTGGAGGCGCTGGTTACCAGCACGGGCCTCCACGGCTCGATGGTCGTCAGACCGGTGGCTGCTGCAACTGAGAGTCAGTCTGAGTCTGAGTCAATTCATCGATTGGCGCTTCCTGGTTTTACTCTCGTGACGCATTGCCACTTTAACAGAACACAACGGTCTTTGTTCATCTAGAGATTCGACGTCTTGTCGCGAATTCGAGTGAGGCTGTGAGGGCACCGCATGGGCGATTTACAGGCCCAGGCAGGTTCGACCTCAGCATTTCCCGGTGCGAGCGAGCGCGAGCACACTTGAATTGCTACTTTCCACGTAGTTGTTTGCATTAGGCATGTTAGGTCTTCCCACAGCGCTCAGTTGAGATCATCAGCCCTCGTCTTCGTTACCAGCCTCAGAATGTCATCACGCGACTCCTCCTGGCTGTGTCTCAAGAAGTGCAAGATCTGAAGTATCAGATAGTCGGAGACGAGTATTGCCGTACACTACAACCACTTGAATGTTCGTTGGCAGAGCCTGAGGGGGTTAGCAAGTCTCACACGATGTGGGCACTGACCAGCAGCCCAAATGTCGCCAGCTACAGCATCCCCGAGCCTCGTGAAATGTGGACCAGAGTTCGGCACTGCAGCTGTAGCTGTAGCTCATGGTTGCGGTACCTTCAGGATTTTGTCCAGGGCGGGGGTCGGCGAGGGCGTGCGCAACAGTTGCAGAGGCTTGTTTGGTGAGTAGACGTGATGTGCAAGCAAATCTTCGCTTCTCGTAGTACTTTGGGGTGTGAGGGGTGTCAAGCATTGACTACGCTGCGGTACCGCAGCCGGTCATCGAAACAGCTCGCTGATGCTGCCGCATTGTTTGAGCTCGGCTGGCCTTGCTTCGAGCACGGCCCTACATAGATCCTGCCCGTGCCGCCTTCACACTGTCGTGGGGGGTCGGGTTTTGGCAACAGGGAGATCCACCCAACAGCGCCTTGTCTTGCAAAGCGACTGTTCTTATGGCAGTGTTCTCTCTGGAGCCATGTGGCGGGCACAGCCAAGAAGTGTTGTGCCTGAGCTGGCACTTGTGAAGGTGGCGGGACCTTAAGCCCGATCCCCGTAGGCAATTTCGTGACTTGCCCTTGCCTGCATTCAACGTGACCGCAATCAGAAGGACTGCTCGGAGGACATACTATCCCGGAACTTGTAGAGTACGAGCATGAGGCAGATTGTGATTGCTTGCAGCAACATTGCGTTGCGACCACTAGTGCACTGTTCACGCCTTCATAGAACTCGGGAAGGCTCCCGCCTGCATCAAATTGCTTGAAGCTGTGCTTTCGATGGTGTCCTTTGTTGTGTGTCGACCACGTTGCTATAACCACAGTCTTGGTGTTCAGATGATTCTGTACGGCCAACCAGCAAGCTGCTCCTGTCGTTTTTCGAGCAGAGAACAAGCACAGTGTACCTCCGAGGTGGCATCATAGCAAGCGCGCTGGCTGCACATGACAAAACATGTGTGTTTGGCTGTGAAGGGAAGCCGCAGCAAAGCTCAAATTAAGTGGAATGAATGACTTCCTCCTCGTAGTTGTCGTTCTTGCAGCAAGCACAGGTGTTACAGGCCAATAAAGTGTCAAGCTGGAGCTGACTGTTGTCCGGATGCGCTGCCAGCATAGTTTGCAGTCTTACTCACGGCTTTGACTTTTGAGCACCCTCTGCACGATACAGCAGCTTGAACCCCTGCATGCATCTGCAGCTGTCTTCACGACCATGAACATGTGTTGGACACAGCTCCAGGATTCCGCCCCAAAGCAGTGAGAGTTTCCAGGCCGCCTTCGTTGCGCCTCATTCGCGACAACAGCATACAGCACAACGGCCACCATCAGCTCAATCACATTTCGTATAGGCTGGTCCTGCGACATGGGAGTTGCGCAGTCGTCCCGTGGCAGATATTCCCCTTTCGTCAGTACATAGGCCAACAAACGCTTCAGCTCTTTTACGAGAAGCTGCTTCCAGACGCAGCCGGGCCATGTCCAATGGCAACCGTTGTCGCCGTATCGAATCCTACTCCACGGGCGCAGGTTTTGGGCGCCAAGGCCCCAGGTGCAGCAAGAGCCCGAGACGGCTCCCAGCAGGGTCTCACCGCTTCTTCAGTTAAAGCTCAAAAGTCATGGCGTGTGCTTAAGGTCTCTGATGTATCGTTCGACGAGTGTTGCGAGGGGCGCTTACTAGGCAAGGCGCTCGGACGATCTGGTTCGGACAGCTTCCTTTTCACTGCCTATCACTGCCTGTTTTGGCAAGAGAAAGTCGGACGCCGGGAACTGTTGCACGTGAGGCGGCGACCATTCGAGTGACTGCCCAAGGCCCAGAATGTTGAGTTTGCATGGCTGATGTCATCTAAATCCCTTCCGTTTAACCTTGGGACCTCGAACCGTCGAACAGCTTTTCGCGGGCTCTCATCTGCTTTGACAGCGACTGAAGTCAGCTAATGTTTCCAACGTGGGCATGTTCGAGACCAAGCCGCTTCGAGCATCAGTTGGCAAGGTCTGCGCAGTTGGATGATGTTGCTTCGCCGAAGCCCTCCTTCACAGTCTGCAGACTGATTAAGTAGTGCTTCAACCACAGCCGACGCTGCCATCAGCACATTGCTGCTGTGGAGGCCTGCGCATGTGCGCTTGTGGTGGCCTGTCGTTTCAACTTTCAACGCACGAGGATCTTCTACGACACGCCTTTGATATGTCCGTCTCGTTTCGTTCCTTGTTCCTGTTGCTTTTGCCTTTGCCTGGCAGCTTCCTTTCAGAGCCCTTCTCTGCCTTCTCCATCCGGCAGCGTGTTCTGCAGCTATGCATTTGACCGTCGCCGTCCATCATCCGCAACGATGAACGTGTTGAGGTGTCGAACTTACCACCGAAGATCTTGCCAGGAATCAGAATCGTGGCCTCAGCTCTCTCCTTGCTTGGCATGCGAACTGCAATTTGCGCGATACTTCAACTCCATACCCAGTATCCACGATTGCCCTGCAGCTGCAGATCAATTGGAATTCCGGTACCTCGATGGTGCGAGTGCCGTCCATTCAGTCAGGACCCGTCGTTGAGCACGGTCCACTCGCCTGATGCTTACCTGCCCCATCTTGCTTCTCTTCGCTCGAGGCTCTGTCTCTGGATTCTTCCCTTCCGTATCCGTGTTGCTCCTGGAGCCGTTTGTGCCCATATGCCGGATTGTCGAGCGGCCGCATCTTCGCACTACAGCCAGTGAATTTCAGCACTCGCCGACCTGCAGGCTACGTCGTCTACCTGGTCAGCATGACCAAATGGCCAGAGACCAGGATGGGCATGGGCTTGACTTGAGAGTAAGAAGAATTCTTGCTGCGTATGTGTGTTTGTGTGCCTCCTTGTGCCTCGTGCCCTCTGCATCTGTGTCAACGATGCGACTTTGCTGCAGGAGGTGGCCATGGCCATGCAGGCCAATATGTGGTCGGTTTGAAGTCGTGACATATTGCACATGGCAGATCGTGTCCTGCAGAGCTGCTGAGTTCTGTTGTCCTTTTGCTGCGAGTAGGGCTGTGCTCTGACAGTCTTCTTCTCGCTCATGTGCTGCAGTGTCGTTCATGCGGTATGTGCCAAAGACATTGGATCGAAGAGGGCAAGCTGGCACAGGTGCCGAATATTAGACGGAGAAGCAGTTGACTTCTTCCCCACACTGCAGCTTCACCCCAATGTAATGCGCAAGTCGGATTTCGACACTCTTTCTAAGCATGTGAACATGTTCGTCAGTTCATTTTTCGTCACGCATGGCGGTTGGCCATGGAAGCATTCCAGGATCTGAAGGAACCGTCGAAGCTGATGGCTGCCATATCCACTCGACAGAGCATCGCATGCCAGGCCTGGAGGCAAGAAGCCAAGGAGGCCTCAGCAAATCCCTAACAGAAGCATTGCAAAGTGCGAGAAAGTGCACATGTCGTGAAGCGTGCTTCACCAAGAGGCGCATGACAAGCGCACCCAGACATGCCGGGAACTAATAAGCCGCTTGGCTCCCCCACAGAGACCAATACGAGTCCTCCCAAGCCTGACTCTACGAGTCAATCACAGAGGCAAAAACACAACGATACTGCATCGTAGACGACATTCGAGCTGTCTTCTTGCCCCTGGCCTGTCTCAACCCAGGTCGATTAGATCACAGAGTGCAACGTGGTTGTGCTGACAGAGACGGCGCCGTCTTGCTGCACCACCTGGAAACTCCACATGCAGATCCAGGCCATTTGAAACGCTTTGAGTTGAGGCACGTGCACAGAGTCGCCTGAAGGACAACGGAGGGAGCTTTGTCCAGAGAAGGCCGAGTCCTTGGACCGGACACGGCTTGCCGACAATGGTAGGTTTCAGCCGCGTCAAGGATTGGATCGAATTGGGGAAGGCGCAAGTGCGGCGCTGGGGTACCAACAAAGCCATGCCAGGATCACAGCGACTTGCTTGCGTGTAAAGGCTGTCCCCAGCAACTTGCCGTCGAGGTTACCGCAGTACCGGGTGCTGCACGCGCGGCGCTCTGCTCGCACATCGCCGAGGACAGAGATGCCAAGGCAGTCAAGAGAATACCCTAGCCATCCCTAGCCCCAGCTTTCCGACCAGCCCAGCTAGGAGCAGAGCACTGCGTTTGAGCATGGTTGAGCGGCTGCGGAGTATGAATTATTTCTTCAGATCTTGCCCGACCAGGCCGTCTCCACACACCGCTCAACCGCGCCTTCCAAAGAAGCTGCATGGCAGCATTTCCACTCAAGTTGGCTTTACGCTTGGGCCTTGCAGTATGCAGGCCCCGCTCGCGGCCAAGTTCGGTGACCCCGCGCTCCCCTCGCAGCTCGGCCGACTAGTGCTTGAAGACACCAAGATGCGGATGGGGATGGGATGGGGATGGGGATGCATTGCGGATGCATGATGATGCATGGGGTCAGGGTCAGGATCTTCTCTGAGGCAAAGACGAAGGACGGAAGCAGAGCGAACAGGAGGCGAGCATGAGCCGAATCCCTCCAAAGCTTCTCCCGCCTCGGATGGCAGGCACCCGTTCGCAGTCTAGCTCGGGCCAGGCGCCGGCACAAATGGGCTTCGCAAAGCTTCCTT